TGTGTGTGTTGGGTGTGGGTGTGTGTGGGTGCGGGCGTGTGTGTGTGTGTGTGTGGGTGGGTGTGCGTGTGCGTGCGCGTGTGTGCGTGTGTGTGATCCTTGATTGTTTTTCCTTTTGGGGGGGGAGGGTTTCTTGTCTTGACCAGCCCAAGCCAGCAGGATGGCCCGTAGGCCAGCGGCGGTTGGCACACGTGCTGGCTAGGTAGCCAGGGCTACTGCAGCGTTAACGCGGAGCCCTGTGCGGACAAACATCCTGCGCCGTTTAGTCCAGGTGCCAGTGGCACCTCATCGGAAGTCACAACCACAATCACGTTTGTGGTTTTGGGGCGTGGGCCCTCGGTTTTGACCGCCCATTTGTTCAATTCCAATTGTTCCTGGAGCTGTCCCTGTCGGGCCGACTCAGCGAGCCGGCTCTACGTTTTAGACATCAGAGGCGCCGCCAATCAAACAAACGGATGGCATCTTTTGGCCACTTCAATAAAGGCTCGCAGGGGACGAAGAGCAACTCGATCTAGACTTGAGAGTCGATCCATTCATGTCGGCAGACTTCAGCAGTCTCTTGGGTTCACGTGCCCATATTTTGTCTTTGCTGTGCTGTACCAACATCCATTTCTAGATGGGTTTGTTGTTGCGCTTGCATCTTCTGTTTAAGAATCAACATGTTTGTCCCTCACTTTTGAGGCCTGCGCGGGATCTTTTGCACCTCGGCAACTTCCAGGAGCAGGCGCGAGACCCGCCCCGCGCGATTCATGTGTGACGCAATGGCCCTTTAAAGGGCAGTAGTGGGCTGGTACACCTGTCAAAGGGGAATTGTGTTTGAGTTACAAGATGATGGAAACAGCCATATTTGCATTTGGGCACCGCAAGTTTGAAGCCTGAATTTGTTTTCCACCCTCTCATTTCAGGCTCTCAACGCCCTTGCGAAACTCCATTCAGGGTGGGTATGGAAGTGTCAATTTCGGCTTGAAACAAAGAGGACACGTGGTTTGTCTCAAAATAGGGGAGCCCTTGGAATGGTGGGTTTCCTTTGTTTTTTGCTTGGGCGTGTTTTTGTTTTTCTTGGAGCGGCGTGTCGGGAATCTCACCACCATGGCTCTTCAGCCAAAACACCGCCAGTTCGCCAGGGGAAAGGAAGAGGTCTGTCGTCAGGGCAAATTTTGTTCGGCCCATTTGCGGATTTTGCGGGGGGTCCAAGTCAGTGACGTTGACCATGGTGAATTGGTCGGGCCAGTCAGAGAGCTCTCCTGTTTACCGCTCGGAAGATGGCGATCCAGCTGTAGTTCCGGTCAAGGATGCAATTGGGGGTTGCAAGCCCTTGCCGAGAAAAGTGCATCTCAAGTGCTAGCAACAAAAAGCAACCCATCAAAAAGCATCTAGCGCCAAGTAGATGGGTCCTGCATTCGCACGCCTTTGCGATACTACGTTGGCCAGGCTTCGCAGTCTGACGTGCACACGCAGATTTTGTACAACCGCAGCTTGTATGGCAAAAACAGCCCGGGGAACGCGGATGGGCGGGCTTGTGGGAGCTTGCAAAGGAGAGCCCTACATCAGAGATGTCCAAACAGGACCCGCTTTTCGACGAACGCCCAGCTCGAATTCACGCAGAACGTTTAGCTAGGCAGCCTGGCAGCCAGCAGGAGAACCCATTCAGAGCAGATGTACAGATTGTGAGGTTGCAACCAGACTGGCTGACAGTGCTATTTAGAGGCATGCGCTCACATGGGATTTCTCGGTAGAATCGCCTATCTGAAGGCCAATAAAAGTTTGATTTCGAGTTTGAGGGTTGGAGGCGATCACCTTAGGGCCAGGAAGTCAATGGTGTCAAGATAGTTTTTGGGACACGCCACCTCCACCCAGACAGGTCACCCTCGGGTGCCTTCTCCTGGAAGTTTCCCATTTCGTGTGTGTGTGAAAGGCTTTACACATCCACTGTTGTTTGCCCTAAAGTGAGCCACAAGGGGATGGACAATTGTTCAAATTGTCCGAACCCAACTGGGGGATGTCTTCTTGAGGGTACAGATATGGCCGGTGGTTCAAAGGGAAATCCAAGAAAAACCCAACTATTTGTTTGTCCCGCTTAGAAACAAACCCCGGGTCACCGTTTCAGCTGACCTCAAGGTGTCATTGCGCAGATCGGGCTCTCTGCCTTCCGCCTGGGGAAGATCACTGAGGCCCACAATTGCCTGATGGATGCCACCTGGCAAGACTTCAAACCGATCAACCTGGATATGTTTTAGTGGGGAGTCCATGTCCACCAACCCACTTTTGAGTTGGTTCCCCTACCAAAACTTTAAAACTCGGTCCTAGTGACTACTTGGCGCCACAGCAGGTCACTCCGATCTTGGGGCTTTCCAGCCAGCATTTTGGTGAAACCGAAGCTCCAGCGCACTTTTTCGAGTGTCGCAAGAGTCCCAACTCAACACATCCGACCCGGTTTTGGCTCGGACCGACCGAGGTGTGCCAGTACAACAAGGGCCGGGAGTTGTTGGCGCAGGCGGTCGGTTGCGTTACAAAGCTAAACCGGTGTATGGGGGTTGTGTCAAAATAGCGGGCACCCCCAAAATGATGGTTTGTTTTGGCTTTGCTTGAAACCAACCTGAAAACCCTCAAAAACACAGACGTACTTGTATATAGTTTACTGTTTGAAGGGAAATGAGGAGTCGCCGTTCAAGCGCGCACACACACACAGTTTACCCAGATTGGTTTGGGTGCCTTTCGAAGCCAGGACAAGGCGTACTTCAAAAGGCATGTACTGGGGACAGCACGCAAAACTGCACCGCAGGGCTTGAGCTACGCCAAGAACATGGAGCGCACAGTGGAGCAGGAGCGTGCGGAGAGGCAGCGGCAACTGCCCTACCACATGCACATCAACCTGGAGGCCGGGATGCCAGCCCTTACCACACGGTTCCGAACCTCTTTTTTGGCCAAATCATGGGCGTGTGTTTTCGAGGGTGCGCCTTCTAAGGTTGGCTTAAAGGGGGACTAACAGCAAAGCCACCGTTTTTGGCCTGATTTTGAGACACGTCTCCCCATATTCCCAAAAAAAAGTCAACAAACAAAGCAGGTTGTACTAGGCAGCTGCAAAAGGGGATAAAATGTTTTTGTTCACACACCCTTGTGTATGCCCTTAGCTTAAATGAGGAATCGGAGTCCACCACTTTCCACCGTGCAGCTGTCAGGTTCTCTTGTCGCTGTGGGTGGGAGGGTCAGTTGTCCGACCTCACACGATTGATTTCAGGCCAAGGGTGGGCGGCCTTTCATGTAAGACCTGCAGGCAGTGATTGTCAGGATCCCTCACTTGAATGGCTTGCGGTTTGAGGTTTTGACATGGGGAAGCCTTCAACACAATGTCGATGCTTTTCTGAACTCTTCGTAACATGGAGCCGATGAAGATGAGTCAGCTTTATGTTGTGTTGTGGAGGCAGCGTTGTCATAGCCTGTCACTGTGGTCTCGGGACGCAATTCGGAGCTAGAACAAATGATCAGCCACATGGCAATTTTCATAGACTTCCCTGCGCCCCTCGACTCCTTACCCTCACTCTGCCTTAGAACCTTGCGTTGCTGTCATGAGCCTTAGTCGGTCGGCTCGCAAGAGGTCATGGCAGTTCTTTGCCGCCTTTTTTTGGGACCGGTTTGGCATGCCTCCAAGAGGAAACCTACACGCACCCTTTGTTTGGAGGCATCCATACATTTTGCCAATCCGGTATTCTGGAAGAAAGAAACCTGCGCCAAGGGGGAGCTGCTTGACCCCAGGTGCTGGAGAGCGCACAGCACATTTGCGCCATGCTGCTGGAGGTTCCGAACATGGCAATGCAGGCGTACATTCGCCCCCAAATCTGGGCGGTTCGCTTGCCTTGGTTCCACACCACATTCGGCATACTTTCTTGTAGTGAACCGCAACAACAAGAGGTAAAGCGTCAACCACTGTCTAATCGCTGAGGGGATTGCGGGCCTCGTTCGACATTTTTCAGGAATTCGGGTGGAGGAGTTGGTTTTGAGATGAACTTTAGAAAGAAGGGGGTTCCTCTCTCCCTGAGCGCATAGAAAGATGGTGGACAGCCATGGGTCAGATTCTGTTCGGCTCAGGAACTGCACTACTGAAGCAGTCAATTCAGATTTATAGTGCCCTGGTGCAGTGAGACTCTGCAGGCCGGGAAAGCCCCAGGGGTGGGATTGGAAAGCTCACCGAACAGCAGAAGTCAGAAGAACTTGGGATCAGGAAAGCACTGACTTCGACCACATGTTTTTGTTTTTGTTTTGTATGAGTGAAACATGGATGGCGCTTTGGGTTCTAATCATTCACCAGTGGATTCCAACAATTGTCCAAAACGACAACTGGGGCTGCACGTTCTAGGGTTTTTACTTCGAGGGTCACCTTTAAGACTTGCAGGTCATAATATTGTTGTTTTTTTTAGCCATTCCAAAAATCCTTCCCTGGTGCAAATGGATTTGGCATCCCCTTTGCAGTGGTTTTCAACGACCGCTCGGGCTTCCCCCGAAGACACCTGCCTCAGAGCCTCTGAGCCTCGTAGGCCATTGACCCCAGCAACAAGCGCATCATCTCCAAGGTGCTGCGGCCCCACGGCGGCATGCGGTACGGTTTAGAAAGTGCGTGCTGTCCTTTTGGTTTCCAGTCAACATGCCCAAACAGTTCCTTTTAGAGAAGATACACCTGTTTTCCTGTTGAAGTTGGGCCCTCTACGAAGTTACAATGCTCCTTCTGCGGGGGCGGAGTCTTTTTCTGCGACGTGTTTATCGGGGTGGATGGGAGAAGGCACACCTGCCGACCTGCCGGCAATGTTCGGGTTTGTCCTGTTGCAAAGCAATTTGAGCCGGAAACTGGTGTCCAAGGCCAACCCCATCAACCCCACCCTTGCCTTTTCCGATTTGAAGAGGTCCTTAGTTCCCGACCTGAGCATGCACACGTTTTGCACCTTCGGAACCTGATTGCTTGTTATGTTGGCAAGCAGTCAACAAGAAGCCGCCCAGATGGGAAAATTAGGACATGTCCCAGCCGGTGCAATCTCAGGGTATGCTCTTATGCTTCACAATGCCGATTTCTGTGCCGGCGGGCTAGAAGCAGCGATTACATCGCGCCCGCTGGAGAAACAGGGTCACTTTCAGGACCCTGGTTCTCATTGTGTGCTGCCTGACCAGGGCTCGAGGTTCCCATTTTTTTATTTATTTTGTGGACGTGTCCGCTCGCGATTCAGGGGTGAGAGCTTTCTTTTACTTTCTCTCGGTAATATGGACCCTAGATAGACAGGTTGGTGGCCTTGAAGCAAGGGCCAGCTCTTGGACAATGCAATGGGGCAGAGACCCTGAGGCGAGCTTTGGAGGCTTACGACAAGCAGCAGTACACTGGGCCACCAGAGACTGCCAAGGTCCGATGGGAGCTCATTGCCCCAAGGTTTCTCGTTTGGATGTTTCCTGTAAATTGACCAAAAGACACTTGCGTGACATGGTTTCGTTTGTGGGGGCGGACTAGGCAATTTGAACTGGGGACCCTGTCTCACCCCCGTGAGGCAGTAGTATGACCTTGGACATGAAGAATCGCCTTGTCGGTTTCCCTTGAGATATCTCAGACTTCAGTCCAATACCCCAAGTCAGTTCCAGAGACTACTACAGGCATCACCCAAACGGAGACACGTTCGCTGCAGGGCAACTGGGTCCAGTCGATCCGAACACTGTGACTCGGGTGCTCCCTACCCTGCAATCTAGCAAAAAAAGTCAGAAACCCTCAAAAGGAGAGTCCTATGCAAGGCTGTGAGGGTTTCATGTTCAAGTTCAGAAGAGGATCATGCGTTTTTTTGGGAGCAGTGGCTTGCTTTTTCTCATCGTCGCCAGACTTTAGCAGGCCCGTTTCCTGCTCGGGTGTCCACTATTTTACCTTTTGGTGCGGGGGTTCGATGTGTTTTTGCCAGCGCCATGAGTCCCTGGCAGTTGTTGGGCTGTATGGACAAAGCCAAGGGCATGACACGGGCCCGGCACCACTTACCCCCCACATTCCTCCCACTTACCAAAGTACTGCTGGGGCTTACATATTGCATGCAATTAGGTTGATACACCAATAACAGCGACAACACAATCTTGGCTCAGAATAGGTTTGTTCTAGATTCTAGAAAGTTGGGTAGAATGCCTCTTACCTTTCCACTGGGGTGCAGAGTGCATCAAGAGTCAAGTTTGTTTTTTTAACATCAAAGGTCACGACCAATCCTTCGTGCCAGCTAGCCGAATTGGGAAGAAGTTCGTAATTCATACGCATTGAAAGTAAATGACAATGAACGAATGAACGAGCCAGGATCCGTCCGGACATGCTGCATACAGATGTGATTTGAACCGTTGGTGAGCTTCTGGAGGTTCAAGTGCAAGCCCTTTCCATAGATGTTACCTTCACTTCCGTGAGGGCATGTGAGTCAAGTGCTTCCCAACGGCCCAACTTGCAAAGGTAGGGGGGCATTTGAGCAGCTTGCTCAGAATTCATGGTGCCTACAAAGACCTTTTTAAATAGCAACATGAATCCTAGTGACATCACCGCCACGACAGACACACACCAAGCGAAGCTTTGACCATGGCACATGCACACCTTGATACTTTTAGTACCAACTAAACTTTTGATGGAAGGAGCACCGCTCTTCCTTTGTTCAGCGAGTGGGGTTTGTCTAAAGGGCCCGCCCCCACTTTTGCATCTATGTTTGCGGACCTGAACGCTCCGTAGTCAAGAGCCCAAATGTACAGCAACTGGTGTCCTTGTGGTTCCCTTCACCACCCCGATGGGGTCGGAGCAGAGCGCAACCAGCCAGGACTCGGTGGTTGCGGCAGCGAAGGACTTGCAGCGTGGCGATTGGGCCAAGGCATTGGTTGAACTCGAGTTCTTAGGGTTCTGGCGATATCACGAGTTAGGTACTGCATGCTGGTGGGTCACTGCCAGATTGATTCTCCGCTGGTAAGGGGGGGAGTCAAGGCAAGTCGAATTGCCACTGACCTGCCCGGGTCGAAACCGATGGCAAGTGATTGGTGCCATTTCTTTTGGAAGAGGGGCAGCTTTGCGGACCTTTGGGAGGGACTTAAGGCTGCACAAAAAATGTGGTTCTTTTGGCTTACAGATCCATTTGTTAAATGCGAAGCCAAGCGCAGGCCTGTTCTCAGCTGGAAAGCTTGCAGCTTTGGCACCACATCGACACCAACCACCCCGAGAACGGGGAGAAGGCTAGGACATCCAAACGTTTCGAACCATCCGAAATCCGATCCGGGATCGGCGATTCTGAGGGGTTGCCAGGGTTCTGAAGTCTGGATATATGCTTTGGTTTGTGCTTCATGGAAAGGCACAAATGGGGGTTGGCCACCTCACCCATGAGAAAGATTCATCTCCTGTCCCTTCTGTCAGGTTGGAAAATATTCATGTCTTATTCAGACGATATTCCCTTTTGTTTGGATAGTTCACATCACCTTCCGAATCACATTTATGGAAGTGGGTGAGCAAACGGGAGGGACTTGCTTGGATCCTATGCAAAATAGGGTCCTACTGGTTGTAAGTCCAGAGGTTTGAGTACGTAGTCGTTTTGCACTATGGACAAGAAACAAGTTTAAACATTGAAAGGTCTGTGTTTGAATCCCAGTCATTGATGGCAATGGGCCTCCGCAAAACCAACTTGCTCAATCAGAGCCATCCCCAAAACTGGGCTGTCCTCAGATCCCCTGCTCAAAGTTTAACCTTTAGTGGGTTAAGTGGCCACCCCCCTAAACCGACTAAAAAGCAAAAAAGCAAAGGAAGCGGATGGCTGGCAGCCATCCCCAAAAGCGACACATCCACAGTGCAAAATCAAGATCGAGGGGTCTGGGCCCCTTCCATGAGGTAGTGAACCTCTTGGCCTGGGACTGCCATATGCTTTCTTTCATCTTTCAACAGCACGTTCTAGCCCTTTTTCCCTCTAGTTGACTTGGCCGGATGCAGACCATAGTGACAATTAGTTTCATGCTTAGTACAGGCACCTGATATCTTAACTGGTGACCACCAAGAAGCCTTCACTGTTTGTCATCATAAGTAAATGTGTCTTCTTTGGTCAGTTTGCTCGAACGTAGATGGCACTGATTTCAATTTTGTACCGTTGATGGACACCTAGAATCACAAGAGATCTCCGAGGCGAAGCAGGACTATTCTGCAGGGCCAGGTGCTTTCCCCGTGAGTTGGCCATTGCGCAGGTGAAAGCTATGATCACGGAGAAGATGAAGGTGGAGGCGTTGAGGACCTACTTGCTCCTTGATCAGACCAAACACTTGAGGATGTTTTCGGTACCCAGAAACTTGAGGCAAGTTTCAGAAACCCAGGTAAATCGAGGAACACATCAGGCTCGCAGCAAGCAAAGTTTGACAGAACTTGAGTCACATCAAGGGAGTTTTGAGGAAGCCTACCCCGGAAGTGTTTACCTCCTTTCGACAGGGCCTTAACAGTATCCAGCAGTTTCAGGAGAGGCACATACAAGCAAGGCACTCGCCTGAAAACCAAAGGAGTGCAACCTGAAGATATCTTGAGAAAATGCGGGCTTGGAATTCTGCAGCAATCAATAATATACAAATGTTTCCGCACAACCCCATGTCACTCAGCCAGCCTTGGGCACTGTTCTGTTGGTGCGTGGCTCCATGTTTTACAGGGTCACATTGTTTGTGAAACTGAAGGCATGGTGCTTGGTGCTTGGGTTTGGGCTGCCGGGTACGGAGATCCAGCAAAGTATCGACCGGATGTTTGATCGGATGATTGATCCGAGTGACTCAGCTTTCTGCTGTTTGCCGCATCTGCTTGGACCAACATCCTCAGCCAACGAACGCTCAATTTGGGGATGGGTTTGTCTCCAGTCGGGCACACCCCTTCAGTATGGGAGTTGTCTGAGGGTATGTGCAAACAAGACATACCGACGGCTTGTTTCTGTTGGCCAAGCGGAGACAGAGCGGAGTTGCAGCCAGAAAAGAATGGCTTTTTGTGTTGTTACAGGTTGCCTTCATAAGACAGTTAGACATTTCGCTGGTTAGTGAACCAAAACACATCGGTCTCAAAAGAAAAAGCAAGGTGAAAGGCCCAACTAGCGAGCGGCCCAGACGCTCCATCCAGCTTCTGTGCATAAACCCGCTAGTCAAGCATGTGTTTGTGTCAGTGTTTGTTGTTTTGTTGCTCAGGATAAGAGGTTCCTGTTTTTGCGGTTGATTAGCGTGTGGCCGTTGTGGTCCAACGTTGCAAGGGCGGCACGTATTAAATTCGATGTTTCTGCATACTGGGGCCAAGTGAGGTTTTCCTACGCCTCCATCTATGACGCCTTCCATTTGGACCAACTTGTACAGATGTTCAGCTTGGACGAGCGAAGCGTGCACTCCACCATTTCCAAGATGATGATCAAGGACTGCCAATGCGTACGTGCACTGGATGTAGTTTGCTTGTGTGCTGGTTGTTTCCAAGTCTCTAAGTGTGCTTAGTCTTGGTTCTACAGTAAATGCTTAAACTTAGACTTCGTTGGTTTAATTCTTATGTTGATGTTTCAGTCATAGATCTTAGATAAGGATATCTCAATTCAGGTCATCGTTACAATCGATCCAACAAACAGGAACACATTCAGTCTGGCTGGTTTGTCGGAGTGGGTCCTAGGAAGGATCTGATTGAAGCTAACTCAAAAGTACTAAACAGGGATAGCCCCCAAGAATCAACGCGCCGTTGTTCAAATCCATGTTTGTGGATGAGTTGAGATGATGGAGGATCCGTCCTTTTCCGTCAAAGGAGGGTTCTTCCCTGAAAGAACCGCGAGTTTGTACCAAGCAAACACTTAGTTCGGAGCGTGCCTTTGCCCTCTGCAGAAACTCGGTTCAACGGGCCTTCATGGAATACTGCAGCGTGGGGCTTGCGAGGGTGTGTGCGTGTGTGTGTTTGCGCGCGCACGTGTGTTTATCACATTCAACCACCGATACATCTTGACCTTTGGGTCTATGGGAAGTCCATGGGTGTGTCCTTCAGAGTTTCCTACATGTTGGATGGTTTCCAGGCTTCAGGGAACCTCGCAGAGATCAAAACTATTGTTTCCATGGTGTCCTGTAAACTTTTCGGTGGCTAAGCAACTAGACGCTGTCCTCTTACTTGAACAAGTTAAGACTCTGTGCTATGGTGCAGAGACCTGGTTGCTTGGGTGTGATGGGGATGATCCATCCACCCCCGTTTAAAGATCGGAGCGAGCCACTGCAGAGATGTCCCCTAAGGTGATCATGACGATCCTCCAAACAAGCTGTGTTTCCCATTCGTGGGGAAGTCCGTCGTATGACCGATTTTTCTGTTTCGCTGAAAACAATGCCAGGATTTGCATTCAGGGAGGGTAGGTTCTGCGCAACCGAGCAGAAACGAGCATTTGTTGTTTCCGTCAACCACCATTGGCTGCGACCGTGGATTGGATCAGGAAATCCACCTTGACGGAACATTGGAAGTACGTTGGCCGGCGGTCGTACAACCGTGTGAAAATTTCCTAACATATGGCAGCCAATGTCAGGAAGAGATTACCGCGTTCTGGGACGAGTCTTCTAAATACGTCCTGGTGCAGCACGTAGAGCCTTCACCTCTGCAGCGTGCCTTGGCGTTTGGAAGCCAATTACCATGGTGGGCTCAAACACGCGGGTGGTTGATTGTCTCAAAAGGGCGATCAAGTCTACCTTGGGGTAATCAAACATGGAATCCTGTTGGGATCAATCGTGAAACAAAGCCCTGTTTGGGATGGCGATCTCATCTCTTGCTTCCCGTCAATCAAGCGGGTCCAACAACGGGTCCACAAGGTGTTGTCAACCCGCATGTCAAAAGTTCTGGTCGAGGTCAGCGTTCAGGTGAGGAGGCCAACCTGGTAGGCTTCTACACAAATTAATGGTTGGGTTTAATAGTGGGCTCTCCAAAGTTGCGCCATGAGTGGCACAACGAGTTTGGTTGAAACACACAATGACTGGCAGAGAAAGCACTACAAGCAATATCACGCGCTTTGCGGTGAACTGCTTCACAAGCTGCCGACCATGATTGCGCTTCAAACGTTTGCATCAACAAACACACGTGTGTCAAAGACTTGCTCAGATGATTGCCCTCACTTCTGGCTCTCGGCCAAAGGACGTGTTTGGACTGCTTTTGTGGCAAAGCGTTGTTGGTGTCCAGCGGCGTCCATCCCTGACATGCAATTTCCCAGACGGACTTTGCCGGGGAAGCCTCATGGTGTAGGATGCGGTAAGTAAAAAGGCGCGTCAAGAGGACTCAGTTCTTTGGACCGTTTTTGGATGTGTCTTTGTTGAGGGCACCCTTTTTGGAGGAACGAACATCCAGAAGCAGCCCATTTATCTCCCTTCGAGGCTCCCATTTCGAGTTCCCATGTTTGTTTGCGCTTGAGGCCTTGCCATCACCCTGGCAGAGCGAGCAGTGCAGGTCGGGTGCATGACCGCGCAGTGTCACCCTATTTGGGGGGGGGCGTTGCTCCTAAAGTGGCTGATTCCCTTTTCAAGATTCCCTTTACCAAAACCGGGGTCTGCCACGAATCGCTCATTTGGGATGTGTGTTCGCACTTTGTGCCGCCTTCAAAGCGGATCTTCTAAAAAGGATACATGTTCTTCAAACTGTCATATATGAGCAATGGACAATCTTGCTGGAAGGGTTCATTTGCGGACCGCATACGACCTATTTATGCATTGCACAAACGGGGGGCACTGCCCAAATGAGTTACAAGAAGACATTTATGTGTTTCTCACATGTTGGCGTCTGTCTAAGATAAGAACTGGTTGAGGTTGCTTCTGTAAGTAATCGTTCAAAGTGGCATCCGCCACCCGATCCAACAATCGGTGCCATCTTTTGTGCAAGGTGACCCGGGCTCAGCCCCCCGAGCACATTATCACAAGTTGTATGATTTTCTCCTTAAGGCAGTTCCATTTTGGTTTTCCAGGACGCAACCATGAGGTCCCAGAGTGTCTCGTGCCTCCTTTCACAAGCGCAAGCAGCGTCCCCTCCCTCCAAAGCTGCAAGCTGGAAGTCTTAGCCACGCGTTCTCAGACAGCCTTTGACTCGGAGGCAAGTTGTCCGGTGGCACCCTTTGTCCGTTTAACTTGGGCGGGTTCCCCCAACCCAGCTCAGAGGGTTGAGTCGTGCTTTCTCACCATGGAGTCTTGTTTGAAGCAAGTTCCGTCGGGCAAGCCCTCGAACGCGGGTTCCTTTTTCCCCAAGCCGCACGTGTCCGAAGCCGCACATAGGCGGTGGAGAACAACGAGCGCCTCGTGGACCTGAAGTCGGGCGGCTTTGCCTTTAAGGACAGGCGTGATTCCTCGGCCTTCGGATGTGAAACGAGGGGTCACGGAGATCCACCTTTCGTTGGTTTTTTTCTCTGCGGTTTTGTGCGGGTAACAAAACGACCTGAATGGTTGACAAGGCACACGTCCCATGTATGTGTCCACTGAGTTCCTTCAGTCAAGCGTCGTCGCATGCCGTTCAAGAAGGGGCTACACACACACACACCCTGGAGGGTACGTCGCTACAAGAGTCTGCAAGCTGGGTCAGGCCAGTGTTACATTTGCAACATGTGACACGGTGAATGACACCAGAGTGTGGACAAATGCAAGGAAGCAGCACGTACCCAGAAGAGTGCCAACAAAAAGCCTGGCCCGTGCACAGGGTCCACACCAATACTACCAACTAACTGTTTGAAGGCTGGTCAGCGTTTTCCACTCGCTTATCACAGCTGGCTTGCCCCATGTTACATCGCTGGTGCTTCAAACCTTCAGCATCTCCAGCTTATGTGCCTGCGGCTTCCGCAACGCTGACTCATGAACCTCAGGAAACCCTGAAGCTTTCCGGCCTCGCACCCATCCCTGTTTGAACCCCATAAGTGTCCCAGTTAGAGCATTGATGCAGCTTGAAGCATTGACGCAGCATCGAATACAAGTACTCGCAGGTATGCACATGTTCATGCAGCTACATGAGTTGGCACAGCGCATGCATTTACATTGCCTTCAAATTTGGGCCTCCTTTTTCGGTTGCTTCAAGGGCCAGAGGGGAAACGACAATTTGCGGGATCCCCTAAAAGACGCAGCCATGTAATCTGTCTCATTTACACCCAGCGCAGGTCAAGTCACACGTTTTTGCAGGACGGCGCCCGAGCTCAGCCGGGCCTGGCCACCGAGAAGGGCAAGGGCCGTATGGGCAAGGGCTTCGACATGAAGGCGCGGGTCTACTTGCAGGGGCCCAATTATTACTGGGGGGTTGTTTTTGTTTTAAAGATCATTTGTGTCCAGTCATGATCACAGGGGGGATACTATCAATCAGTATATATTTGGGCCCGTATATGAGGGCCGTCCTAAAACCCCAGTCTTCGGTTTTAATTATCGCCGAACAGGGAGAAGTAAAAGTTGTCAAAAGCTGTGCGCGCGCAAGGAGCGCGCAAGTGCGGCCCAAGGGACGCGCAAGGTTACATACAGTTTTGAAGGGTTTCATGTACTGATGTTGCCTAGCTTCATGAAAGGAGGTGATATTTTCTTGCTGTACTTGTGCCTTTCGAATCAGTCAGACGCCAAACGAAGCCAAAGCTTCTGCGGTCATGACTTCAACAATCAGCAATTGACACGACAAAATCCGCGCAAGCCGCGCGCAAGCCGCGCGCAAGTTGCGCGCAAGCACGAGAAGCCCCAGCAAGACATCTAGCCATGCTGTCTTGGATGTCCTTAGCGGCGCGGTTCAAGCAATGGATAGGCACCCGCAACATGCACTTTCTTTCAGGCTGTGTCCAAGCTGTGTGGCAGAGCCTGCTGTTCTTTCTGTTGGGTCAAGGGTATGTTGCTGGCATTGAATTGCCGGGAGCGACCTCAGCGGGAAAAGTCTTTGTGGGTTGCTGTGTGAACGACAAACACACTGCTTAGAAAAGCTTGCGCGCAATCCACACGAAAACTTCGCAAACCAAGGTCAACGAAAACGAGTTTCTGCGCCACTGTGCGCGCGCAAGTACGCGCAAGTGCCGCGCAAGTGCGGCCCAAGGGCCCAATCACGGGCAAAGGAATATAACCCCCATATAACGCCAAACAGACATACATGGCGGGTGCTGGCAGGTATGTAGCTGGGCTTTTGACCCAGGAAAATTCAGGGAGCCTTCTTCAAAGTGAAGAATGCTGTTTCAGGGGTGGCCCTAATTGTTCCCAGACTGGGCCAAAAGGAACACGGTTGTGGATGCAGCCAGTTGTTGGATTGGGACCCGTTTCGGTTGCATTTTGGTGCACGAGTTGTCATCCTTGAAGTTCATCGCTGCTTCAGGTAGTTTTGAGGCTTCCAGCCAGCCTTAAACCAACAGAACCAAGTGGGCCAGAGTCAGCGCAAGCTGTGGGACACCATGAGGTGCTGAATCGCTGAAGCCCGGGCTGAACAGGTTCAGTACTTCTCATTTGTTTTGGTTGGGGCGGTGACTCAGTGCAGATCCGCAGATCGGTTCCCGCGATGAGTTTCGGTCTGCATCCGAAGCTTTGTCCTGGGCTATCAATTGCTCAAATGCTTGCGTGGTGAACCCCTGAAATGGTTGGTTGTTGAAGACAAACAAGCTAATTAAACGACTCGTTTTGTGTCGCTTGGACATTCCAGCTCAGGGTTCCGGGCAGACTGCAACAAGTGCGGGCCCCGTCACCTTGCCAGGCCGACATGAAGGGCGCCAAGGGGAAGGGCCGTGGCAAAGGCGAGCGATTGTCCCAGTGTGCCAGTCGCGAAGGATTGATCAAGTCGCCCTGGATGAATTGCCGGCTCGGTTTTAAGTTATGTGATTTAAGGAACTCTCCCAATGGCAATGCAGCAATGGTTTTGTACCGGAGCCCCACTTATTTAAACTTCCAATGGGTCAAATCCCCAGTTTTGATGCATTTCTGGCTCAGACACTTTTGTCGGATCGTGCTTCCATACTAAGCTGTTTGGCCGTCCATGGTTACCCTGCCGCCTTTTGGACAGGCGGTTTTGCCCAGCCTGCGCGACGCGCGGGTGGTTGGGAGAACGCCCGCGCGGGCGCGATGCGGGGCACGCAGCGTGGTTGGTCCACGGGCATCAAGAACTAAGGCGCGGAGCCGCCCGCGCGCGGGGAGCTGCGGAGCTTTTGAACCCAGTAAGTTTCCAAGCGTCTTCTTCGTTTTGGGAAGAGCGTTTTAGTGATAGGCTGAAAGTTCAGACTTTGCTTGATAAATCTGCACAAGCGAGGAAATGGAGGGACCACCTTTGTATTCTCGCAGGAAGGGGCTCAGAAGGCAACTCTGGTGTTGGAGCGGGGAGTAAAGATTGATCATAGTTTTCTAGCTGGTGAACAACGGTAGTTTGTCCAGATGTGCGCTGTGACAAGAACAGTGCGCGACCATGGCTGGGCAAATGCAATCTATTGTTTTTTGACAGACTGACAGCATGAGTATCTTTTATGCCCTGTTTTCCTGTGGTGCCTTGTCTTATTTGTTTGGTGGTTGTTTTAAGCAGCCAAGCGGTCCAAGCCAGGCAAGCAGCTTGCGCGGCACCTTGGCAAAGATATGTTTCGAGCGCTCCCAGTCCTTATGCTCTTTAGGTGGCTAGAAGCCATTCTGGAAAACCTCCAGGTTGAGCATACGTTTACTTGCCAAAGTGGTATAAAACTGGTGGCTCAGATGGAGGCCTTTCTCAGAGTTGCTTCGTGGTAGTCATGGACCCAAACCCGCGCGTGTCTCTTTTGTTGGGGCAGTGTATACCTCCCACTTGTGTGATACCCACTGAAATGGCCTTCGCAATGACTATATAAGTCTATCTGATTCTGCATTCACAGGGAGGACGCTTTCAGGCATCACAAAAGAGGTCACCACCCAGTTATTCTCACAATGGCCTTGTGGGACGGACCTCCCAAAGGAAGGATTGGAACCAACATGAACCTACTGAAAAGCGTTTGCTTGGCACATTGTGTTCTCATTGAAGCAGTTGTGCAGCGCCTTTGGTCTTTGGTTATGTTGGCCACCGTCCATGTAGAAGTGCTTTCGTCTTGACACGTTTGCACCGGCTGGTTGTCGCCGTCGTCGTTGTGGCGGTCGGTTGTGTTTTTTTCTGTTGTGGGTAGTTGGTTGCTGTTGTTGTTTGCCCTTGGTTATGTATTGTAAGTATGTTGTTTGGTGTGGCTTGTGGTTGCTGTTGTTGTTTGTTGTTGCTTGCTTGTTGCTTGTTTTTGTTTTTTGCTGTGTGTTGTTTGTTGTTTCTGTTTGCTTGTTGCTTGTTGTTTGATATTTTTTGTTTTTTTGTTGCGTGTGTGTTCTCTTGTTTCTTGTTTGCTGTATATTGTTTGTTGTTTGCTGTGCGCTGCTTGTTATTTGTGGTCTGTTGGTTTTTGTCCTTGGTCATTGATGTGTTGATTGTTTGTTTTGTATTTTGTATTGTTTGTCTTTTTAATGTGTTGATGGTTGTTGGATGATGGCTGTTGGCAGTTGTTGTTTTTGGATGGTCGTGGTGGTCGCAGTGGTCGCGGTGGTCGCGGTGGTGATGGTGGTGGCGGTGGTGGTGCTTGGTTCCTGTATTGCAGTTTGTGCGTGCCAGTTTATCTCATTTAGCTTTTGCCCTTATTTTGGGCATCACAGCCCTTGATGACCGGATGATTAGACTGCATTTGCACTTAGCGCGAGGATTGCAGCTTCAGAGTCTCATGATTAGTGAGGCAGTACTGTTGGTTTTCTGCCAGAAGCCAAGGTTGAGAGGAGCAGAATTGATGCAGCGCCTGAGACAATTGAGAAGCAACGACTGGGGTAGCGGCTGTATAGCTTCGCCATGCAGTCTTGAAGCTGCTTATTGTGTATGTGAGGGTTGCGAATCACCACGCCCTCACCCAACAAGAGACATGTTTGCGTAGGTTGGGACAAGGTCATCACTCTGCCTGTGTGTTTGCCTTGGGTCTGAGTGGCACGACACCGCAATCTCGCTATGTCCATTAAGTTTCCATCGCAGCGAGGGCGCGGCGCTGCCCACAAAAATCATTCGCAAGTAAGTGGATTGTTGGAGTGAAGGAGAATGGTTCCAACTTCCAACTCCGCTTCCAATGAGGAACCAATGATTGGCAGCGCCTTCCACTGGCATCACCAAGTGGGGCCCAATTCCAGTGCTTTTGCGACAGCCAAAAGAAACTCTGTTCTGTTCTTGTGATTTCCGTTGCTTCGCGAAGCACTCTTTGAGATATCGGGGCTCTCAGCTGTCCGGGAATCGGCTCTTCAACAAAAGAGGGGTTTTCCATTCCCGCTTCAAGGGACATTAAGAGTGGAAAGGATCTCTTATTGGCATCATTCCAGCATCCCAGGCGTCTATTTTGGGAATTCAATGGAGGATTTCACCTGTGAGGGACCCCTTCAATGGATTTCCTGAGCGTTTCCGTGATACTCAAACATGCCTATTGCTCTTTTTTAATTTGTGGGCCTGGCCGATGGCTACGAGTCTAAAAAATGTTCACGCAAATCTTTCAGGCCAAGCTACTCAAGGGACAATTCGGCCGTCCAAAGGGCTGCGCCAAGCAGCTTCCATGGCATTCCTGAAAGGATCTGACGTCGCAGGCATCCGTGGACTAGTGATGCTCAGGGGCCCGCAACCAGCTTGCATGTTAGCCTTTTTGACCTTTGACCAACTTCCCCTCACCATGCCCAAAGAATCGAATTTTGGTGTTTTGGCCAGTCAACTCAGCAAGCCCTTCGCGTAGTTTGCTTGTGGGTGCAAGGGGAAGGTTGTTTGAGAAAGGAACAACTCATAGAGGCCAACTGCACTTGCTTGTTTGCGAGTGTTTTATCATTTATTTTCCTAGTCACTCTCGGGGCCCTTTCCCTCCAAGTAGCAACAAGCGACTGATTGTGGTAATGGAGAAACTCGTCGTCTCTCTGCATTATGTTAAATGTCATTGTTGTGCTCGAAGCCAGAGACTCTGTTGGCTTGCCTTAAACTTCCTTGGGGACCATGCAAGTGCAGGGTCGCTTCATTCAAATAGACGGGTCCCAGGTTGCACCAAAGGACACTCATGGGTGTAGCATCTTAATCCTAGAACCCATTTGCTGGGGCCTATTTAGGGTCACCCAAGTCACCCAATCACTGTCAGCCAGAGGAGATGGACGGCCTGTTTGCCCGGCGTGCCATAGAAAGCGGCGAGCTTTGCAGCTGGTACAACGGCCTCAGGTGTAGCCATGAGGCGCTGGTGACGGGATTTGGGCCGAATGCAGATCTAATGTCCACTTGGGATAGCAGAAATTTCTTTAGCATCATGAGGGATGGCTCCACTGTCAGGATGTGACGTGACGGGCGGTGTTTGAGAGTAAGTACAGCTGTCCGAACTGGTTGCCGCAAGTTGCTGAGTGACAAAACGGGCATCATATTCGACCACCTTTCTAGTAAAATGGCAAGCATAAGAGACCTTACCGATCTTACGAAACATTCAGCCATTAGGCAGGCTCGCTGCGTGGCCTTTCTTGTTTCTCCAAATTGGGTTGGATGCTCCTCACCACCTATTGGCTCCATCCTCTCAGATGAAATGTTGCCCTTATGGCCACAAAGCCCCCCGACCAGGCAATGTGATTTATCCAGACCTAGGATTGAAGAAGCTGTTTCATTTTGTAAGGCAGCATTTCAAACGCAAACCGCTGCAAACCGTGTCCCAACTCCACAACAGCCGTCGCCGGCACAAAACATACCGTGGGCAAGCTTGATCAGTGCTGCTTGTGTCTCTGCATTGGCTGTGGCAGGGGCATCATTTCAGGAGGTCCAGTATGGGCAGAGCTTGATTACCGGGCAAGGTTCAAGCTTGGAGGTGCCAACTTTCGTGCAGTTCATCTCCGTGCCTGAACAGCCATATCATGCCATTTGTCACTTGTTGTTTTGCGGGAATTATCTAAAATATTCTAGAATGGTTGGCTTCCTTTGTTTTCCATTTGTAAATCGTCGCTAAGGGTCTGCTCTCTTCCCTTTTGTTTGGACATGTCCACCTGAAACCTGGAAAAGAGCCTTCCTGTTCGAAGCAGCAAGCGTCGTCGGCACTTTGTGCGCTTGCCAGCCCATCAATGTGTTGTGACGGTGGAGTTCTACTAGTGCGCTGCGCATAGGAGGTGGATGGCCGAGAGTGTGGGCTGAATGATGCCACCATCACTTTGGATGAGGAGGCGGTACTAGATGTGCTCTGAACTCAGACCTGTGGGAATTGATCGAAGCATTGCCTGACTTTATGGCAGGCCCTTTTACCAACATGTGGCCCTGTTGGATTTCCATCATTTCTCCATTGGGCAGTCAGTCAAGCTAGCCCGCGGTCTATAGTTGCAAGGGGAGGTCAAAGTTTGGTGAAGAAAGCACCAGTTATGTCAGGGTGAAGTAGGCCATCAGCATTGTCCCGCATGACGAGTTTGGGCGTGTCAAGGCTGTGAATGCACTCAGGCAGCATTTGGATGTTAAGCAAGGAGAGGTGGCCAAGAAGCGTTTTGCCACACCCAAAACCAGTACCCCATAAACGAGTTGTGTATTGGCGACGTACAGTTTTTTTTTGCACTACTATGTGTCCAGTGTGTAGGCTGATGTGTCCAGGGGCATCCCGATGGACTTGTCCATGAGCTGAGCTGCAAGGAATATTCCCTTTGGAAGGATCCCGAACTCTGGTTGTCCTCGCGAACACTTGTGGCGGCAAATAGGATGTCACTTTTAAGTCACCACTAAAACAGCGTGGCTCGAGTTCTGGAAATACCGAACTACTGTGAGTACAGTTTGGCACATGGCGGCCTTTCTTTAGGACCTTACTAATTGACCATCATTTCCAAGATAGGGGCGGTATTTACGGATGAAATTCACATGGAACCCTTCCTGCCATTTGGCTTCATCTTTCTTTTGCCATATGCTTAGCTCCACCCGAAGGGGCTGACCCGCAATACTTGGGCAGCATATATGGTGACATCACGATCGAAGCCTTTCAGCGACTTGCGTCCGGCCGGCAAATGCAAGTTTTCTTCTTGCCGTGATTGGTACTCACAAATGTTAGGTCTTGTTGATTCGCATAGGGCCAACCGCATCAGTGACAAAAAGCAAGGGGGCGTGTATTCCACGGGGATGGAGGAGCAAGCTTGACAGTTGCAAGCCGCAACATGGGAAGCAACTGGGTTTGGTTTCCTATTGTCCTGGGAACCGTTTGCTCAGTGTTTCTCCAGTACTCGACGCCTTTGTTTCGTGATATATGTGTTCTCCCTTCAAGCTTAACCAGCACAATCAGGAAAATCTTACCAGTGTTCTCCTTTTTTCTTGAGAACCGGGCAAACACGGGCGGTGATTTCTTGAAGAGACGGAGCAAACCTGAGGCCTGCGGAGTTTGTGCATGTGCAGGCCTTTACGGCGTGTCCGGGGGCCTAGTCGGATCTAGTCGTGCTTTTGGGTTGTCAAAAGGATATAGTTTGAGGGCCCAAATTCCGTCACGACCCTTAGGGAAACATGTTTAGAAGGACGCCCCCGAGTTTTCGCCGCATGCAAATGCAGGACTTGGGGAATGCCCATTTGAAGGCATCAGAGAAGAATGGTTTCGGGAGTGATAGACAGTCCACGCCAGGGTCGCTCACGCAAGGTTCCTTGTTTCGAGACGGAGCCCAACAAGGAGCCCCTCTTGTTTCACCCAGCTTGATGGGTTTTTCTGATGTTTGGCCCCACCATTGGATTCGGTGCAAAGCAGAACCAAACACCCCATAGGGGAGTCCCGAACCTTCTTGGCACGCCTTTTACTTCTGCAAGACTGAACCAAGTTGCGAGCTTCAAGATGGAATGATTATTCACCGTATGAGCATGGCAACATGGATGACATGTTTGGCAGCAAAGGGTCCGCCTACTCGAGAAGCAGGCTGACATGAGACTTGTCAATTGGTGGCGCACCTCGACAAATTCCCAGATATTCGGTCCTTTGTAGTTGGCAAGTGATGTGTTAGGGCCTGCATCAAAATTCTGTAACCAGGTTGGTAGATCCAACAGATACTAGGTCTCAATCGCTGCTCCGAAGAGCATGTCACAGTTAGTCCACGCTGAATGCTAGAAGAGGGCGTGGCTGGAACGAGTCATGCAGTTTAGTCGTGATGAATGGAGAATACATGTTTGTGTGTGTGTGTGTTAAACAGCGTCGATATAGATCACTCCATTTGCACCGCCAAAATCGGCTGTGTTGACTTGGTGGCCGGGATTCATGAGGCTATAATTGATTCCTCCTAATGCAAGCACCTGACGCGCGATGCTAACCGGAGTGGCTCACAGATGGATGCAGACATTGTGTGCTCTCGTATCCCAGCACTCTGAGGCTTGGGGCACAAGGCGAATCACAGCAAGCCAAACAATGCCAAGAGCCTTTGCTGCACGGAGACATGTCTTGCGGATCCTCAAGTCGCAGCCTGCACGTGCCTTTCTTGATATGAGTAAGAATCAGCAATCCTTCCCATGTATCGCCGTGGAAGGATTTAGACAAGGGGCACACTTTAGCGAATGTCCACCACTGAGTGCGGGCAGGGGGACACCATCCCATGTGTGGGGCTCAATGAATCGTGGCATTGGCTCATATCCGAAGGTGCAACCATTGAAGGACCCCTCTTTGGATGGTTTTGAAGTTTGTTGTGGGGTCTCATTTTGAAGTAGCGCAAGTCACCCTTCAGGTTTGAAGCCATGGAACCGGGCAGGAGGGTCTTCGGAAGCCCTTCAGGTAGTGGGGAAGAGTCTCTTGCCGTCCAGTGGACCTTCAAAAGATGCCCGGCCTCCAGGCGGTTGAGCGGTCCGGACCCCAAACATGGACACCAATTCGTCGACTTGAATATCCATTTAGAGGGATTGTTTAATTATTAAGCGGACATGGTGCGGTTTTTTGCCCCTCCAACCTTCTTATGTGGGCTCATGCGGGCCTTGATTGGGCTATTCCGTTGACCCCGGGTCCCTAAGGGTCCAAGGGGGAACTTGACGTGCAGCAAGATTGCGACGACTCTCATCTTGCTAGGCCAGCATGTCTTGCGGACCCTGAGTCTGAGGGGAGTTAGTTTTTAGGTGGCCGATTTGTTTCTGGTGGTAGGGGGCCATCCAGCTGGAGGTACGATGTCTTTGACCATCCTCGGTTTGGCCTCATCAAGGCACGTTTATGTTGAACGGCTTTCTATGTTCGGAGTTGCTGTGTGTGCTTGTGTCTTTACTAGGCTTGGATTTGCTTTTCGTTTTGCCCGTGTGTGTGTGTGTGTGCAATGCACTCGTTTCTCAATCTACATGTGATTCCGCTCGTTCTTTTGTTTATCAGGCTCGGAGATGTGGTGATGGTGGGTTTCCGTCAGCACTTGGTGCCCAGGATCTTCACCTTATTAAGTCAGAGTTGGGGGACTATCAAAGCAAACCACATGTTGATCTTCGAGAAAGCAAGGATACACCAGCCATTTTTGGGCGGCCGCAGTTGGTATCCAAATTATGTGCATGGTAGTGAACATGAACAGCCCCCTTCCTTTTGCATGGTTTTGCGAGGATAGTAGCAGGAGAAACTTTTTATATTGGGAGAGTTTTGGCGCGCACACACACGCACCCTTGTGAGAAGCTCAGTTTCTGGAAAGAACGAAAAACAATGGCATATCACCTCCGGTATGCACACGTAGTCTCTTCCAGCACCTACTTGGGCACAACCCTGCAGTCCAGCCTCAATAACCCATACACTACGCAACTACAATCTTAGGTGTATGAGTTGTTCTGATGGCGTTTTCCTTGCACGCAAAGGGTTGCAAGTGAACTAACTCTAGGATGGAGTATTGGCACTTGACTTCGTTTCCTTTCAAAGCTGATTCCTCTCCCAAGGTCCCTTTCGGAGGGTGTCCAGAGAAAGTCAGATGAACAGCGACCAACCATTTCAGGGTTCAAAACCGTTCTACGACACTCACTCACCCGCATGTGCGCACGTATTTACGCATGTTACAGGCCTCGACCATTCTACAGGCACGAAAGGCGGCGTTCCTCAAGCAGACGCGGGGCCTTTCCATCGTCGCCGGTGCCATGGTCGCAAGACCTGGCTTCTTGAGGTCAATGGGGATGGTCATCAAGCATGTCATCAGCATACTTCTAAGAAGACCGACAGATCATAGTTGACTCCTACGTTGTCAAAACACAGCATGCGCAGATGACCATCCCCCACACATGTTGCACATCTACCCTGTTGCAGACCGCCAGGCCATCCGTGCCCTGCGCAACATCGTGGCAGGGGAGGTACGAACCGAAGTCGGCGTTGGCACAGGCAACTACAGTTTTATGCACCTGTAAAATAGATTTCATATACGTGATGACATGGTACGCATTTAATACACTATTTTTAATACAAGTTAGTCTATTCTTTGATAATCGTATGCAAGGCGTGAGACTCACTTGGACATTTCTTGCTCAGCCCGTGTACGCATCAGCTGACTCCACAGGAGATTTGCTGCGACTACGCCTACGAAGGGGCACCGGAGGACTCTGGAGCGGACACTTGTGAAAAATAGTGGGGATCCAACTACGTTTCTCCCAGGAGAATTTGCAGCTCCTTGTTTGTCCCCAGAATTCCCAGCTGTCTCTCCCGGGGCTTGGGGACATTTGGGGACACAAACGACTCCCCTGGCAGCAGAGATACGAAGATTCCCCGCTTTTTGCCGACAGCAAGGACTTGCCTTTGTGGCACACGAAAGCAGAGGGGATGGCAGCTGCCAGCGAGGACCGGCCTGCAGGCAAAAAACGGTGAACCGGCGGCGGCCCGCATGGGCGTTATATACGCAGAAGGGCGCATGATTGTTTTACCCAGCCTGAAGTAGAGATACACTTTGCATCTGCCCGGGAGCTGAAACGAAGCAAGTACACATCCGAATGCATGTATGAATGTATACATTTTTTTGCGTCTTGCTTGCACATGAAGATATACATACATTCTCTCAAGGATCAATTCCCGATCATGCTGCTTGATCCCCATTAATCACAGTGGCAATGGTGCCTGCGTTGATAGCTCTCAGCGAAGGTAGACGGTTTTTGGGCCACTAGTCTTACACTTGGCAAGCACACCGTGCGTGCTTCTTATCTTCCTTGTTTGCGTTGTGCAGGGAATATGGGAATGAATCCTTTCAAAACGGACATGGAGCCTTGTTTGCAATGGTTAGCGGAGGCAAACCATATTTTTTGCCGACAGCAAGTTCTTCAGCTTGCAAGCAACAATTCTCATTTAAGATCCATTTGGCAAAGATCATGGGACCCGACTCCGAGCTAAGTTTCCGGCACAGCGGTTTTGCTCTCAGCGGATCCCTGGCTCAAGCTTCCAACGTGCGCTGTGACGGCCCGAAAGGCCGGCTTCCGGCACGGAGGGGAGGGGAGACCCGCTTTTTTCAGAGCCAGGGCGAGCCAGGGGAGCTGAGCTGACGCCAATGAAAGGGGTCTTGATCACAGGTGGTTTGTAGTTGGACGTTGCGAGTATTCGTCTTAAAAGGATTTGCATAGGGCAGAAAGCACAGCGCAACTGGCCCAGACACGAGGAGACAAACAGCCAAAAGCAGGGTACCGCCGAAAACGGGATCCCTCGCCAGGCTGAAGTACTTCAGGAAGCCTCCCGTTCTTTGTGGTCGAAGCGGATCAGCCGTTGCACTTACTTAAAAAGAGGCTTCGCAGGTGGTTGAATGACGTTTCCCTTTTGCAATATCATGGAAGAGAATACATGGGTTTGTCTCAACAATAAGGGGACCCTTAAAGGCTGGGGTTCGTTCAGGTTCCGCTTTAAATTAAACCCCCAAAGTCAGGTCGATTAGCGTACTCTCATTACCCTCAAGGAAAAGCTTGATGGCATCAGCTTTGCAATTGCCATATATAGGTACCATGCCCAAGCAGATCACAGAGATCCGCGCGCCGGGGGCCGATAGTCTGGATCGGTTGGTGCTGGATGTTTCGCATATGGGTATCTGTTTTTTTTTTTGAGAAGCCCCTCGTAAATTTGATCTTAAAGAGAAAGCAAATGGAAAACAAACATTTTGTGGGTTCCCTCAATTTTAAGACACATATACGTGTATGTGCCATGTTCAAAAGACTTGGTCGCTATGTCACCGGGGATGGTCATGGGGACAACACATTCGAGGGGCGGTTGATCCCTTCTATGTGCTTGAGCTGTGTTGTCCTTGAATCCTTACAAGAACAATCAACAACAACATACAAGAACAAGAACCTGACATGTGCGCATGCCCTTTTTGCTGTCTTCCGTGTGTGGACCATTCAGGAATTCAGGAAGCCATAGCAACATTGCCCATGTTTGGAAGTTTGAGCATGGCACCGTCGACTTCCAGGTGTACGCGTCGATGGTGTTGAGCTGGCGTGTGCAACGCCCGCGCAAGTGGACAGATGATGTTTGGCTTGGTTCGTTTCATTTCGCCCTTGCCAATGCTTGACACTTGACGCATGACACGGTACGGAGTGCCAGGGTTGGCTCAAGCAGGAACAAGCTCAAAACCAGCCCTTTGAGGGCATGGAACCAGCTGAAGCCATGTTTCCGCAAGCAGCCACATGCACAACAGGCCTTTGCCGCCCAAGCGTGACAAGCAGGATGCTGTCAAAGGCAAGTGCCTCGTTTCTTTTCGGTACGTCATCAAAAGTAGGGGCCTCCTACCTGGTTGGCGCCATGCAGGTGCCTCCTGTGAGCCATTCCAGAAGGGTCCTTTTGGTTTAACGCACATCCTTTCTTCCTTCGTGCTTTGGCCCCTGTAGCATCGGAGGCTTAGGCCTCCGCCTCCATGTGACACACGCCCTCAGCAAGCCCGGTGTAGAGCGTGCCGTTGCAACGGCACGCGCACGCATCCGATGTCCAATGGAGGCTGGGCAATTTCACAGGTTTCGTGCGAGAACCCCAAGTAGGCCCTCTGCATTTAGTTCCGATGGAGTCAGAACCTGGTTGGCACATGACATGTCGGATGATTTTTGGGGTCACAGTTGGATAATTTTCCAAAACAGACACCAAAAGGAAGGAAATCATATAATTCTAGCGGTCCAAGTCTGTGTCAGGATTTTGTGATATAACACATGTAATTAATGTTCACATGATATCATAAAACACAGAAACGTGACTTCCTCCTACAGCGACGGTCAAAGGGTGTACATGGTGTTTCATGGGAAGCGTTGAATCTAAGAGCACTCTTGAAGGGACGTGAGCCCCACCAATAGGAAGCATCTCACTGGTGTTGCACAGCTAGAGCCAGAGAAGCCTCTTTCTCCAACGAGTTGTCTTGGCCTAAAGACAGCGTTTGAGGGGTCCCTTTCTTTTTGGCTCCCAAAATGTTTGGCTCCCAAAACAGCAGTCAAGAAGTAACGAAAGTGCATCCTAGCGGACCAGGTAGCTCTGGCAGTTCGCTGCAGATGATCCACACGCCCTCCGGGAAAAGCCGCCTCGAGGTGCGAGCCAGTTTCTTTCAGGGGAACTCAGTCGCCAGCGAGTCGCCCTTTCGACCTTTTGGCCCTTTGCTTTGCGCCAGAAACCGATGTGGGTGTGTGTCAACATAGAGGGACCCCCGGAATGGTGGTTTCCCTTTTGGTTTCCCCTGTGGGAGGGTGGTTGGGGTGTGGTTTGGAGTTGCTTTAGGGTTGGGGGTTTGGGGTTGGTTTGGGGTTGGTTCAGGGTTGGTTCAGGGTTGGTTTAGGGTTGGTTTAGGGTTGGTTTAGGGTGGGTTAGAGGGGGCCCTTAAGAAAAGCACACTCTCACCCATTCGCCCATTTATATCAAGGTTCCAAAGGCTTCTATGGGTGCTATAAGTGCTTAGGTTTCCGGATTAGGTTGCGGCAAGTGACGATGCAAGGACTTTGCAAGTGCCACGATGTCAACTGTTTGAAGGTCCTCCTATGGCTTCCTATCGGGTCCTTGCTTTTGTCTTCTGGCGCTTTGATCCCATTGAGGACGAACACTTCGAGCCTTTCTCTTGTCCCAGGATCGGAATGGGTCAGAGACTGAATCGGCAAAACCCAAGGACTAACCCCACCAACATCCAAGGGCTACCCTGCACAACGCCAGCGGACAACATGTGCAGGCACAGTCCATGGCACACCTCCTACTACATCTCCTAAAATATTCTAGAATGTGGTGGGGGTTGTTCGAAGTGATGTAATGATTGAATGGCCTCTTTTCCGCATGCTTGGACGCCTGAAAGGCCAGCAGGAGGCACTGGTTGGCCAGGTGGAGTTCATCACTTTTTCTGACTTGATGTCACTGGTTTGCACGGATTTCTCAGATGAGCGACGTTCTAAAACCCCTGCACTTGAAAGTAGTATTCGGGAGGAAATATCGATTTCGAAATGTTGACTTTTCCCAGGTCGCGGAAGCGCCGCGCAAGGTTCGCGGAAGGGGTTTCTCATTTATGCACTCGCGGAGGCTTCGCGGAAGGGCTACGATTCAATCACGAAAGCAACAAGTTATAGTTTTCCTTCACGCGCGGAAGCGAAAACGAACTTCAATCCCATTTCTCAATCCGCGGAAGCGACGCGGAAGCGATTCCCTCTTCAA